AGGCTCGAGAATCTGCGCAAGCCCAACAATTTCTACACGGACGGACTCATTTCAAAGCAGGACCTAAACTATTGTCGGAATCCAACGGCGGCAGAGCGGCCATGGTGCTTCGTTTCCACAGACTATAAGAGATGGGAATTCTGCGACATCCCCTTCTGCCCCGGCCGCAAAGGTCTGGAATGATTTGGCTTCCGAGGATACTTTGCTAGAGAGAGAAAATTGTAGAGGATGTCTCATTTTCTGCCTGGAGCATTTCCATCACACTGCTCTAAGCCATGTTGCCCAGACTCGGAACTGTAAGCTCCTGGTATCTGACACTGGTGGCGAGCTCTGGGTGAATCATCTGATTGCCTACTAGTTTTTTGAATGAGTCAATCGTCGCAATGGTTTTCTATCGTTTTGAATTCCGTTTTAAATACACTTTCACAATTGTGTAATCATTGTGAGAAACGGTTAAGTTGTGTAAATCCAAAGTCAACCTGACATTGGGAAATGACTTCATTAGTTATGAAGTAGTAAACGCATGGAACTTTGCGAGGGTCAATGTGTATTCTTATATGACATAGTTGAACCCGAATGTAAACTGACGGAGATGGGAAGGGAATACATCGGGATGGTGAACGTGACAAAGACCGGAAAACAATGCCTGAGCTGGGATTCCCCTGAGTTGCTGGCCGAAATAGGTTTTGCTGCCTCCCTGCCCTACGAAAATCAATTGTTTTCCTTTCGTGATCCATACACCAAAATGAACTTCTGCCGAAATCCGATGTCAAAGGAAATGCCCTGGTGCTTTGTCGGCGACGGCAACTTGAAGTGGGAGTATTGTTCGATTCCCCTTTGTGACCGTCCAAGTGAGTGCCAACCGGAAACTGACTTGTATTCACCTGCAGAAAAAAGTAGTTTACATTCCACGGAAAACAAGCTTGTCCTCCCTTCCCTATTTACTATCACCTCCTGACCTTTTTCAGTTTGTCAGAATATTAAATTAATTTAGTGCCTGTGCTCGAATTCTTGCTCCCTACTACGTCAGAGAAAATTATAGTTTCGCTCTTGAGCTCATTCATAGATGTTTCTATTTCGATCCAGCAAGTCCTCTTATCCGATTACTATTTTAGGTGCCCCAGAATGCAAGGAGTCTCTCTCAGGATCGAAATACATAGGAGCAAAGAACTGGACCGTATTTGGCGCACCATGCCTTCCATGGAGTCCTCCAATCCCCAAACTCAAGAGTTCTCCTTTTTCCGAAATTTCCTCCCCTGATAACGTCCCGGATGACCACAACAACTGTCGGAACCCTGACTCGTCTCCTGGTCCATGGTGTCTCATTGAATGGACCCCCAAAAATCAAAATTTTCCTCTTAAGGTTCGGGAGGCCTGCCATGTGCGTTCCTGTTTTCGAGAAGAAATGGAGAAGACATGCGAGGCAGAGGGCACATGCAATTCGAGTGAGTCGAAGGGCTTAAAATGTCAATACCAAATGATAAGACCATCATACGACGACTTCGCTTTCAGGTTTCACAAAACTCTGATGGCCACGTTGGTACATTGATCGTCTCAGACTAGGGCACTTTAAAAAAAAAGTCTTACTTTTCCAACGCTCAATTATATTTCGTTTTAAGATGCTGCTAGGTCGATAAGTAGTGTTGTGAATATCACTGCTGTGGTTCGTGTAAGAACGGAATGAAGTTTTACTTGGATCCAAAAATCGTCCTTTTGCTGAGGATCCCTAATTCCAAAATATAATGCATTATTCCCACACCTAGTTCAAACCGGAGTGCGGCAAGCGGTAAGCTTTTCAACCGGAGTTTCAAAATAAAACGCCTGCGAAAAACGCATTCATCATCACAGAAAAATGCGATTCATCGGCCTGTTAGTGCTGCAGCCGCCAAACCGTTGAATATCCTACTCACAAATTGAGTACACTGATTCCTTAGCATCCATGGATGTGCCCTAGTTTGAGTCAAATGTTGGTCCGACGTACCGTTTTATTTACCATCCCGAAACTTCAATCGTGCAATAGATGTTACGACTCACCCATGAGGGCTTCTGATCTCCTGAAATCCGTCAGATAGACATAGACAAAGAAAATGAAGATGTCCAAGGGCTCAATCGGGCACGAGGTCATGATTTATATGCAGAGGAATGATGGGGAGGAATGAAGTGATGGAGCTGCAGCCACGCCAAGAGAATAGTTATGGTGGAGAAACAGGCATGAGCACCATCTAATACATGATTTGAAATCCAATATCTTTCCGTTTTACACAGACATTTTTCGGAACTAGTATTAGCACAACGCCATGGCGTAAAGTAGCAATGCGATTTTGAAGAAAACAATTTTTTGAAGATATTTCCTTGTCAATAGATGCGACATCATCGTGATGCAATATTCTTTACTGGATGCTTTTTGTACACCCTAAATCTCATTCTCCTCAATCTACACCATCATTCCAGATGGAGTTGTGGCATTGCAGACATATCCGGAATGCCGAATGACGACAATGGGGAAGGAGTACAGAGGGACCCAAAGCAAAACACAATCTGGAAAGAAGTGCCTGGATTGGAAAACGTATAAATTGATGGACATTCGCTCTCTTCTCCAGCAGCAGTTGCCGGTGGCCGATATGAATACTTTAAATGAAAGACAGTACATCTCCGAATTCATTTCAAAGCAGGATCTAAACTATTGCCGGAATCCAACGTCGGCAGAGGAGCCATGGTGCTTCGTTTCAACGTTCGTATATCCGCTCTGGGAATTCTGCGACATCCCCTTCTGCCCCGGCCGTAAAGGTTTGTCATCCTTTGACCTCCGAGGATACTATGCTAGAGAGAGAGCAGAGGATGTCTCATTGTCTGCCTAGAGTATTTCCCCACACTCCTCGGAATCACGTT